ATACAGACAGAGAAAGGGAGAAAGAGTAAATGGGGAATAAGAGAAAGGAAGAGATAGAAAGTGAGAGAGAGAAAGAGAGAAGGAGAAAGAGAGAGACAGAGAGGGAGGGAACGTTTCAGGATGCGATTACGACTTTTCTTGGTAGGGCGTCCAATCAGCAGTTATTTTTATAACGGCCGCCGTCGCGCCGTGCCGCGCCATGCCGCGGACTCGTCCAAGTAGTAGTGGAGGCGAAGTAGCACCGCGACGAGCAACAGTGGCCATTGCACGTTGCCTTCAACGAGCCAAAGTAGCCATTCGCTTCGCGTACAGGCGTTACGCGGTATCGCCGCGCGTTCCCCCCGGAAAAGAAAAAATACGACGTGCGAGATTCCGTGATAAAAATCACGCGAGGCGCGAACCATCCGTGATCGTGGTCACCCGCGGTCGTTTTCCCGCAAACGACAGCGACACGATCCCGTTGTATTCCCCGCAATATTGCCATAAAATTAAATAAAAGCGCAAAGAAACCGAGTGCCGAGCCTTGAAACTACTCGGGACAGCCAGGCACACTCGGGCTCGTTTCAGCTCAAAACGCAAAGCGAAATTATAAGCTATAAAGCTAAGATAATTTTCTTAGATAATTCGGGGGTCTTGTTTCGATATGTTTCTTCTCTCGAGAGAGGAGAGGAGAGGACAATCGAAGTCTCAGGAGCGAACGCGCATCTTGGTATCATATTTGTTGAGTATACCCCTCGCCACCAGGGGTGTAGTGGGGGTAATTGACATACGAAACAAAATGTTGCATTTTATGGGTTATTGCGAGGGGCAAACAAGCGCGGCGGGGTCGAGGGAGTGTCCGATCTAATAACGATCGGTTACGTCGGAGGCCTTTATTAACACACGCATACGCCGCGTTCTGCCGACGTGCCGGCCGGCATTCCCCCCTCCTCTCGCGTTCAAAGGGGATTTCAGACGCGCGAAACGGCTTTTCCCAGAATCTCGCGTGACGACCCCGGAATCTATCGAGTACAAGCCTCGGTGGAGTATACCCCTGATCGCGCTCTTTTGCCAGTCATTCGACGGTTCTCACAGTGGAAATAAAGAAATCCCAACTTACATTGGATCCTTCTTTCCTCTTAATTCTGACACTTCTTTCTAAGGATGTGCCGATCTACTAATTGTAATCTTCCATTCGCAATATTCTATTTCTATTGCAAAAAATGGATAAAATTTTTTTTTTCAATTTCTATGTAATTGCCGGATAAAATCTAATTATCTGTTTATCCGGAAATACCGGATTAGTCAATAAAAGGTCTGATTATGCGACAGATTTATTGTTCGGTTCAGTTCGGTTCTACCCTATTTTGTATTTCAGTAGAGATTAATCCCCAGGAAACTTGGGAAAATATACATATTTAAAGATTTTTCAAATTTTTTAGGTGTTTCTAAGCTAGGTATATTATCATGTCCGTTACAATACATCCGTCATGCATTTTACGAGTTGTCTTGCGGCATTGTGGTTTATGCTGGTATGTGTCATCTTCTCTCATCCGATGATTAAACGATAACTCAACAAATTGCGATCCTCACGACATTCGCCCATTGTTAAAAACTAACTTATCCAAATGCATATCTATCGCTTTCAAAAAGAATAGATATCCCTTATAGTATAAAGTTCAAAAGCTGAAACGGATGGGACAGCGGCGGGATGGAGAGGCCGGGGCGGGGGAGGGAGAAGAGGAGGGAGGACTTCTCTAGAGAGTCTTTTTGCGCGGGTTAACTTTGTTAGCGCTTGGCATTATCAGAC